GACTTTTACCTCCTTCTCTTCTTCCTCGCCGCCGTTCTCACCTGCGCGCGCGCCTCGGCGCGAGTCACGCCGAAACGTTGCGTTGCGTGCGCGTGGAATCATGTGGAGCAGCTTGACCGCAATTGGCCGCGATTTCTTATTGAGCTTGATGCAATTTCAATCGGCGGCTCGCGATCGCGCGCTCTTTTACGCGGCGAGCGAGCGTAACAGTCGGCTTGATCACCGATCGAGGATCGGCGTCTCGCCGCCGACGGGAAATGAAGCGTCCCTCTCCTCCCCTCTCCCCCTTTCTCACTCTCTCTCTCGTTCTCGGGCTTCTCTCCGCGCCGTTAAAAGTCCTTGAGAGATCTCTCGCATGGTCCGAGGAGTGCCGCGAGGGCGGAATCGACTCGAATTTCCTCGCGTAACGTTCGCGTGCGACGCGCAGCGGAATTTCACGGGAATCCGTACGCGCGAAGGAACACCAGGACTTCCGGCCCTTCAGGGAAAGGAGGAGGGAAATTCATGCAGACTTTCCACAGTGCTTGCATCGACGACGATGCGCCAGAACTAATCACGATCTTGGCGATCGAGGACAATCCAAAAGCGCCGTTTGCGCTCCTAAAGACTTTGCTCTGAAGGTCGAGATCTCCAGGATAAGCCCCACATAGCAAAACTTGATCCTAAGTACGTCCAATAGATGTATCACAAGGGATTTAGTGACATCCAGAATACATTCGTAAAAGGCCGAAATATACATAGGATATATAACATAGGAATATATATATATATATATATATATAGGATGTACCGAGGACGTCTTTATATCCGCTCATTAAACATCCAGAGGAAGTGATACGTGGATGTCATGAGGATATGTACACATAACAATATGTGATCCTAATATCCGTAAGATATCTTCCAAATATCAAAAGTGGTGCTAAGGACATCCACAAGATATATCGCGATGAATTCTATATATCCCGAAGTCATCCTTACAATACGGAAATAGGCCCGGTTGTTCCAACTGAAAGGTAAGTAAGACTAACAATTAAATCATATGCCTATCTTTGTTTTTTGTTCGAAATAAACAGAGACAGACATATGATTGAACTGTTCGTTAACTTACTTTTCAGTTAAAACAATCGGCCATAGAGAACATTGGGCCAGAGAAATAAATTTCATAACGGCTGAACATATGTTTCGATGCAGTTTGAAATATAGCCCATCATCCAATGAGAAAACTACTTTTTCCGAAACGTGTTCTTATGCTAAATCATCGGCTGCGTTCCAAAGCGCACCAAGAATAAAATGCCCACACCGTTGTGAAATGTAATATACAAGATATGTACTGAGTAATATAATAATAATATGTGCGTGTATTTGTATGCATAAAAAAGTTACTTGTTATTATTATTTGAGCAACGTGTAATACAATGTTTGTTTGTGTTGCATATAACGAGTAAGATATATTATATGTTCTACGATATATATATAACTATCACACAATATATAGTCCATTTCTTAAAATAGAAAAAACGTATCACAAAAATATAAAATATTTAGTAAATATTAGACTAGATTTTAAGATATTAAGATATTAAGTGATTTATCCAAGTATTACACGTTATTATAAAAGATTATAAGACACAAATAATATATAGACTAACTTCTTTTTGTATTCTTTGTGCTCTCTGGATATCAATTGTTCAGACATAAACAATACATATTAAATATCTAATTAATAAAAACAAAAACTAATTACTGTACGTGAATGGATCACAGTATCAAATAAATGTTGCATCATAAAAAAAAACACTGTATCGCTGTTCCTCAGTAAACATCGGCTAACACACTAGAACATCCTACGGATGTTATGCGAATATCTTGTGTAATTGTGTAATTTGTGGCTAATGCACATGTCCTCTACAGGTACTCCTATGGATAACTCTTTCGTTTGGATCATAATAGGATCATTTGGATCAAATTAGGATATACTTTGGAGATCTAATGCTATGTGAGAGGAGCACGGGCATTTACGAGCAGCGAACTCACGGCTCCGGCGGGGAGCTTTGAAGCTGGAGTTTCGAAATAATCATCGTTCTCCTCGGAGCGCGAAATTATTCACCGCCGGGGGATTTTCAAATGGTCGAGCGGGCGCAGGCTTCGCTGCGTGTTTGATACGCAGATAGCATACACCTCGCAGGAAAGTCCGCGCGCACTCCTTCCCCCCCCCCCGCCCCTCCCAGAGTGCGGTCCTTGTGTTACTTTTTCCGTCGGGTTGTCTCTCTCCGTCAGCGGCCGCGCAACGCGTTTCGCGATTCCTCGTCCGTTGCGGCACACAACGCGTGTCGATTGTCCGCCGCGACGCGATGTGTCGCCCCATATAGCAAAATGGCATCCTCTGGAAATCCTAAGGATATCCAAGGACGGACACGTTACGGATATCCAAATTTTATCCCTGAATAGACTTTGGATGTTCCGAGGAAGAGAAAATCGCAGCTGAATATTAACCCTTGAAACATTCGGACGATATCCTGCCGGACGTCGAAAGGACTTCCATCTTATGGATATTTCTTAGGAGTCTAGAGGAAAAGGAAAACACATGATGCGTTGAATTTGCTGACTCCGAATTATCAAGTTACGTCTTTTCTGTTTGAATTATGAATATAAGGGAAAAAAGCACTTGACTCGACTCTAAATCGTAATTGGCAAATTGTATACGTTAATAGTTGGATTTCATTTTCAGAAGCAAATGATTTTTTAATCTTTTTAAATTTTAATCTCTCAGAATTCTCAAATCTTTTGGTTCTAAAAGAAATCAAGCTACTGATGTATTTAATTTGCCAAATCCGATTTAAAATTAAGAATCGGGTGCTTTTTCAGTTTTCTTATATTTATGATTTAAACGGAAAAGACAGAAAGCACACATATCTCGACACAGCTCGGAATCCAGCAATTCAGTAGGCTATATTTCTACTATTTATCCTTGAAACATCTTTCAAAACATTGTGTTGTCTGGGTTCTTATGCTGTTTGAGGCTAGCGGATATGCAGTGGACATTTATGGGAGATTTATATTTCATTGCAGTACTTAACATTCTGAAATTGTGCACAGTTCTAATGATGCACTATAATTAATGATATCAAATATCCACATAAACTTCTCTCATTTCAAGTATCTACATAACTATATATTCTCAAAATATTCCAGAATTATCCTGGACATATTCAGGATTATTCTGAGGACATCTTGTGCTATCTGGGGTAATATATTGAATTTCTTGAATCCGTATTTTCGAGTTATGTCTTTTCTGGTTGAATTATAAATATAAAGGAAAAAACACTTTACTCGATTTTAAATTGAAATTGGCAAATTTAATACATTAATAGTTGAATTTTATTTTTAGAAACAAAAGATCCTTGAATCTTTTTAAATTTAATATCTAAGAATTCTAAAATTTTTTGATTTAAAAAAAATCGAGCTATTAATGTATTCAATTTGCCAAGTTCGATTTATGGTCGAGAATCGAGTGCTTTCTTTTCCTTATATTTATAATTTAAACGAAAAAGATAGAAAGCACGCATATCTCGACACATGACGGAATCAGCAAATTCATTAGGCTATATTTCTACAGTTTATCCTTTACACATCTTTCAGAAGATTGTGCTGTCTGGGTTCTTATGCTATTTGAGATCAGCGGATTTTACTTTTAATGATGCGCTATAATTAATGAAGTCAAATATCCACATAAAAAATTCTCACTTCGAACATCTACAATCAACAACACAACTAAATATCCTGAAAGTATCCCAGAATTATCCTGAATATGTCTGGGATAATTCTGGGATCTTTTTCATATCCTGAAAGTATACAAGGACATCTTGGACACTCAGGATATTCAGGATCATCCTGAAGACGTCTTGTCTGTGGCGAGTCGAAACGTCGCTTATGCGCGCGGAATCACGATGTATTTACAGCCAACGCAAGATGGAATAACAAACGACTCTTTCCGCATAAATGAATCTCTCCCTCTCTCTCCCTCTCTTTCTCTCTCGAATTAGGGAACAATTGCAAGGAAATCAGCGTAGATTCGCGAGCGAGATAATGGACTTGAAAGCGAAGATCGCGCGCGGCTGCGCGCCCGCGCAGGCTCTTCTCCGGCGCGGGAATTGAATCGAAAAGCGCGAGCATTATGTTCGCCGATTGTTACCGTTAATGAGAAACGCCAGTCGTCAATGGCGCAGCGCGAGGTAATGACTTGTCGCACCGAGATTCTTCCACACAGTTCTCATCCTCGCGCGCTCGCTCGCTCGCTTCGCTCTAATCACTCGGCGAGTCGAGCCGGCGGGAAACGATCGTCATTAACTCCCTCGGAACGAATTCTCCCGCGGATATGTAAAGTTAAGAGAAAGAGAAAATGGAGAAGCGACTTGGAAGTGTGAAGCGGAATTTCTGCACGGGACATGCGCAAGATGGAGTGAAAAGTCGAGAGCGACGAATCTCGTCGCGTGCCGCGGTCCGCCTTTTTCTGCAGCGTGTCGCTTCAACAGATTCGCCCCCGAGGAGAGGCTTTCTCGCGGTTGTTGCGGGGGAGCCCTAGTAGCACATATTGTTGGGCCAATATTGGCCACAAATTGGGCCCCCAATATTGGCCAATGTAACCCCAATGTAAGTCAATATTGGTATAACAATGCTATGCAATATTGGCGATATTTTGTAATTTGATATCTAACCAATATTGGCTGCATATTGGGATACATTGGGCCAATATAACCCCAATGTAAGTTAATATTGGCACAACAATGTTACGCAATATTGGCAATATATTGTAATTTAATATCTAACCAATATTGGCTGTATATTGGGATACACTGGGCCAATGTAACCCCAATTTATGTCACCGTAGCCAATGTAACACCGATGTAACGCCAATGAAGTGTGCTACCAGGGAGGTTACGCCGAGGGAATCGCAGGATGTTGACCTAACCCGAGTCTCTCGAGAGTGAGATTGCTCTTACCCAATCCATGACTACTGTTCGTCAGTCGAAGCGAATCCGCCGGTAGATTTACTCTCGCCTCTGTTGGGGGTGTCGCGCTCAGCTTAGCTCCTCGCACTCATCGCGCGCGAGCCGCGCGTGTGTCGTCCGGGGCGACCCGGAGCTCGACTCCCGCACGGGGCCCGCGTTGCCGGCGGGACGCGAGTCGCCGTTTGTACACTCGCGACCTTGTACCTGTACGATGACACTGAAGGACGACGCGAGACGGTGCGGTGGAGCCGGCTCTTGCGAGAGGAGGACAGGAACAGAGGGACGGACGGACAGACAGAGAGAGAGAGAGAGAGAGAGAGGGAGAGAAAGATAGAGAGAGAGAGAGAAAGGAAGAAAGAAGTCGCACACCGTAGAGCACCGTTCTCCAGGACGAAGAGCGCACGACTGGCTCGGATCGCAGCTGAAGCCGAAGGTGGTGGACGGGCGCACTGTTACTTTCATGGGTCGTCTCCACCACTGTGGGCCACCTTCGTGGGACATGCCGGTAGCGCGGGCCCCACCAACCGGAACCGTTGGGCGCGTTTCCAGTCCTTCGCGTCGCGCCGCGCGGCGCCACGAAAACTACGGCGGAGGTGAAAGGAAGACATTTCTTCCAGCCGGCCGGCCGTCCTTTCCGCCTCTTCAGCGCCGGTTGCCGCCCGGCCGGCGCCGGCTGGGAAGAGATATCAAGGCGTGCTGCCTATGTCTGCTTGGTAAAAGTGTAGCATTTTCGTCGTATCGTAAATATATTTGTAGACAGTTCTATGTTACTTCCAATAAAACATTTGTACATATATTACATTATCCGCTAGAGGAACGATTCTGCGAACGCGGCGGGTGACCTCGTTGAAGCCGCTTCGCGAGCGTGCCGTGTCATGTCGGGATCGTCTCGCTTTAGAAAAGCGAGAAGGGAAAAAGTCGCGTGTGAACGTGATACGAAGGTCAATATCATGTCCGATGGAAATTCTGCGGGACTTTCGAGCGGCTGACTTGAGTGCCGCCGCCTGTTGTGAAAAGAAATGAAAATCGACACGTGTCCGGATTGCAAGGTGTCGATTCGAATGACTGTCCGATGAGGTTCCTGACATTTGTATGCCGTTGGAAAGCGCTTCTGTATTGTACGCGACGCGTGATCGGACTGCACGAGGAATCTCTTGGTATTCCTGCTGCCTCACGAGTCTCGCTCTAGGCCGACGCTCTCGAGATCCAGCGTGGCTTTCTTGAACCTCTTCGCTGAACTCCCTGAAAAACAATAGAAATCCCCGTAAGCATTGTCGCCCATTGCGCCAAGCGATACGAATCGATTCACCGTCAGTCGCCAAGGATGCAATAGACGCAAGAAACTAATTACCTTGAATGAAACGCTCCGCGGTGCGTTTTCTAATTTCTTCTAAGTTCTCCTCCGCTTGAGCCCACTCGAGCACCAATCTTCGGCCGTACAAATGAGTGCTCTGACAGAGACTCGTGAAAGCTCTCTGGCAAACAAATAAGTGGTCAAGTTGGCGCGAGAAAAATCACTTGGATAAACGCTTAATCTTTTAGATCAATTTCATCGGACTCGAAAAAAGTCAAATGATCACAGACTGATCTTTTGGTGAAAATGACTGATTGAATCAGGATGATTTCGAATCGGACTGATTCTGATAATTCAATCTTTTCAATGAGATTCAACGAAGACAGACCGAGTACTCACTTTCGCGTCTTCCTTCGTGTGATACTCGATGAAGGCGAATCCTCTGTGCTTCTCGAAGCCAACCAGTTTTCTCGGTAATCGCGTGGCTTTCAACTCGCCAAACGCTCTGCAACAAGATCGTCGAGTTACGTTAGTGCATATCGCGTGCAAAGCATGTCGACAAAGAGAGACACGCGCGATGTGTGTACTTGAATAGCTCCGTTATTTCTTCGGCTTTCGCCTGGAAGGGCACGTTTCGCACGAGGATCTTAGTTCCGGTCTGCTCGGTGATCTTGGACTTTTTCCTCGCCGTTTTAACATCGGATCTGGAAAGTGTTTCACAGTGTTACATCGAGAGATTCTCTGCTTTCTAATGAGAGAGACCAGGCTCTGAGGTAACGTACGTCAATATCCTCTCGGATCGCTTCAGCTCCAGAGACTTGCCATCGAGTACCGACATCTGCAGCGTCTTCAATGCGCGATCCGCGTCGTACTTTCTCTTGTATCGCACAAATCCGTATCCCATCGACAGGTTGTTACCCGGATTCTTCGGGTCCTTCTTAGTGGCAATCATGACATAATGGAGGCGACCGCATTTAGAGAAGTACTGAAAGCGGAGAAAAGATGCGCGTTAACAAAGCGCCTCGAGCGTGTCAAAGATGACAGCCGACGCATCGTGATGCAGCGGTCGCGACAATTTCTAATCACTCACACTCTTCAACTCCTCGGTCGTGGTGGAGAAGTTGATATTCTTGACAAACAGCGTGGTGTCCGACTCGGGCTCTTCATCGTCCGCATCGTCCGCGTCGGCCTTCTTATTTGCATTGTTTACGTTTTCTTTGGATTCCTTCTGTGTTGCTTCTTCTCCCTTGGCTTCTTCCGCGTTGCTCGATTTCTTCGTGTCGCGTTTGCCTTTGCATTTAGACGCGGGAGCGGTAAAACTGTTGTCCGGTGCCCATTCCAGGTACAACGGTAAGTGTTTGAACTTGGTGTAAGCCAACTTCGTGAAAGCCTTACGCGCCTCGGACGGCTCCAGAAACTCGACCAGTGCTGGAATTGCGGGAAATGAAACGTTAAAAATGTTCCGGACGTTTAATACTCATTGAAATGACAACGACAGTACCTGTTATGCCTGATGGTGGCAATACGATGCGTCCAAGTTCCCCGTGCTTGACGAACATCTCTCGGATGTCGGCCGGTTTCGTTTGAGCCGGCAAATTCTTCACTAGGATCACGGTATTCGACCTCTGCTTCGGCGCCTGTCGAGATTGGATGGAAGTACACGAAATTTTTCTTCAATAAAGAAAAAAGAAAACAGCGCATGAGATATCCAAAACTCACCTGATTAAAAGTGTTCAAGCACACGCCGTTTTCTTCCAAGAAGGCTTTGGTATCATGAGCTATTTGCGTTTCTCCTAGCGCCAGTTTCACCGCAGCACTCATTCCTTTCGATTCGTCTTCCAGTACCTTTATTTAGATAAGGTTTAAGTTTGCGATCACGGTACCATTTAACATGCATACAAGCCATGCGCTGTAAGCTTGAAGAATATATTTAGGATTAACACAAATATATATGTATACAACCTTCTCCTTCGTGGTATTATAGGTGGTCGCGATAGCGTCCATCACGGCGTTTTGTCCGAGGAAAAGTGTGTTCCAATTGTGCGACGAATTCGCGGTCGCTTTATTCTGCAGCTCCTTCTTTTGCTTGTAAGATAAATTGCCTGTAATCGAGAAAGTGCATTCTTGATTCGTATGATGAGAGAGAGAGAAAGAGAGAGAGAGAGAGAGAGAGAGAGAGAGAGAGAGAGAGAGAGAGAGAGAGGGGGGGACGATTATGCAGTTTCGTATCGACGGTTGTATACTTAGATCGATGTCCTCCAGCGAAGTTTTCGCCTTTCCGGGAAGCAGATGCAACATTCTACCATCTAACACAGAGCCGTCCAATTCAGTGTATGCTTTTATAGCATGTTCTGGCATCAGAAAAGTTACTGTGCCGAATCCTTTTAGTCTCCTGGTGACTTTATCCACAGGTAAGTTCACTTCACTCAGAGGACCTGGTAGTCAAAGATGAAAGTCGATTAGGAGGCAAGAATGAACTTTGCGATGAGAAGAACTCAAACAGGGTGAATTTCTGGCAAACAGGAAATTTCTGTCCATTTTTGCGATATGATAGGGCGATAATATTCTCTTACCATATTTTTCAAATAATTTCCTCACGTCATCTTCTGTGGTTGTATATGTCAGGTTCCTGATGAACATCCTCCCGGATTCCGCTATACTCTCTTCATCCTTTAACATCTCCCCTTGTTTCTTCCACTTGACGTCAACCTTGCTATTTGAGTCTTCACCGGATCCTTTCCTTTGCTCATATTTGGACACAAATATTTGTTTGCCATCTGTGCAAATATGGAACACAATCAATAACATTGGTAAAACACTTTATTTATTATACCTCATTACTTAACTATTTATGTCTTACCTAAGAAACTTTTGTTTTTCAAAAGAGCCTTTTTCATTTGCATCTCTGTCTTAAATCCCAAATAGGCTATACCTTTAATATTACGTGGGATTCGTATGGATTTGGGTACTAAAGGACGGAAAAATTGTTTAATGTGCTTTTTTAAATGTTTGTATCCGAGCCCAGTTACTTTTACAGTAAATAGTTTTAATGAACCATGCTTTTTTGATATACTTTTCACCAGCGATTTTTCTTCGCACTTTGTTTCTGGTTTTTTCTTTAACGCTTCCATATACTGTAATTTTAATCAAAGTTCTGTCAATTATAGCAGTTAATCTCATTGCAGTCATGTCTCATAATGCCAATTACTGCAGCATACCTCTAAATCTGATATAACTTTATCAGCAATTTTTTCTTCCCCTTTTCTTTCTTCTTCTTCTTCCTCATCGCCATTCTCAGCTGTGTTTTCATCTTTGTCATCATCATTGAAATTTCCAATAACATCTGCGGATGCACTGATATCATTTCTCCATATTGCTTTTATGTTGTTGCCCGTATGTGTTTCAAAGAATTCCATGAATAAAGGATCATCCTTGTGCTGAGTTTATAATTATGTAAAAACATAAAAAATAGTGTTTCTTCAGTTAACAAACAGTCGACTTTACAGTTGATTTCAGTCAACCTCAAATTTACTGAATTATGAAAGAAATAAATTTTATTGTACCTTTTCAAGTGCTTTCTTAACTTCTTCATTGTCCTTTTTTTCTTTCTTCTCATTATTTTTACCGGATTTAACGTTAGATTCTTCTGAGGAATCTGTTGAGACTTTCGCTTTATCCTTGAAGGAATTATCAGCTGTGTGTGAACTATCAGTCGCATATTTGCTCCATGCTCTTGGCTTAGAGGGATCACCTGAAATATTGTACGTATCAATATTTGTAAGAAAAAAATGTTGATTCGCTTTGATAATATAAGCAGATATTGTACAGATATGCACCTAAGTTAGCACACTTTTCAACAGATATTCTGCAACTTTCAATATATGATTTATCAAAATAGGACTGTGCCAACTGTGCTTGTTCCTCTGTCTTATAACCAATAAATGCAAATCTACGAAACTTTCCATCCTTGGTATATTTCAGTTGGACGTCAGTCACAATACCCTTCTCACTGAATAATTCTTTCAGCTTGTTGTCTGTGATCTGCGTATATAAGTACAAGATTAATATATTTAAAGTAAAACGCGAGACAATAACACAGATAATGACGTACGTACATTCTTCGGCAAATTTTTCACTATTAAACGGGACATTCTGCTTCGTTGATAGTTACTTTATTCCAAAAATTAATGCACAGTTTTCTTGTTTATAATAAATAATACATTAATATTGGTACATCATAATACGCACGTGTTTCCAATGAGACATTTGGTCTGTTCTTTTTAGCTACACTACTGAACTGGTGTAATAAGTTAGAATGAGACAACTATATTTTTTCACACTTTAACTTATTGCATCAGTTCAGTAGTGCAGCTAAAAAGAACAGACCCATTGGGTGCATTCAGTACTACCAGAGAGAAGAATGAGAGCAGCCACCGGCCGTATTTCGAGGGATACGGCTAGGCGCATTTTAGATACGCCATCTGACCAAAATGCACCTAAACTACGTCCGCTAGGCGCACTTTCGCGGTGATAAAAGTAAAATGCGCCTAGGTTCGTGTCCGTACTACTTCCATGCAATGAATAGTAGATTAGAAAAAGACAGACGACAGACAATCGTTCCGTCTTTGTCTCACTACTGAGCGGCGCGCGGCAGTAAACACGAGGCGAGGTAGCGGCGATCTTATCGCTAAGCGAACATCTCTCCGCTTTTCTTTCATCTTCCACGCTCCAGAGACATCAAAAGACGCGGTAGCGTCTCGTGTCAAGGGAACGTGCGAAGCGAGGAATTATTTTTCACGCACGCGAGGTAGCACATGGGAGACTAGACGAGCGTCGACATATTATCTGTTTCTTTCCCGCTCGTCTAGCTTATTGACTGCGTGAGCCGCGAGATTTTTCTCGCTACTCCTATACTTCGCTCTTTCTCTCTCTCTCGCGCACTTGCTCGCTCTTCCTCTCTTCTCGTGTTCTTACGGCTTGATTATATTAATTACATGACAATATATATATAAATAAATGACACATATATAGTGTATATGTATATAAAGAATATTTAGTATTAATGCACAAATAAAGAAGAGAGAATTATAATGAGAGACGAAAAGTTAATAGAAATCCACTCTTAGCCAATATATACATCTTTTAAAAATGATTTGTTATTAAAGTATATGACAGAATAATTTATTTATGCTAATAAATTTAAATTAAAAATTAAATGAAATGTTATAATAACAATAACAACAATAACAATAACAACAATGTTATAATAACAAATAACATTTGTGCAAATAACATTGAAAATTTGACCACTCGGATCCGTGCCACCGTGAGAAGCCGCGGAGGACATTTGAACGATGTTATATTCCACACATATGGCATACATGAGCCTTTCAAATAAAAAAAGAATTTCGTTAATACTTCACACACAGCTTGTTTTATTCCATTGCAACATCGACCCGCCCTTATTGAAAAACCCTTTATATCTAGACTGCGTAGTCTAGATATACTATAGGCCTGTACTTTTTCGCTGCACTGATGCAATAAGTTAGAGTGAAACAAATATATATTTGTCTCACTCTAACTTATTGTATCAGTGCAGCAGTGCAGCGAAAAAGAACAGGCCTATAGTATATCTAGACTCCGTATTCGAGGAGTGGGAGTATAACTCTCGTAGAAAAGGAAGCACTCTGTTTTTACTGTTCGTTCTCTCTCGCACAGTCCCGATGAAAGGGGTATAGGGGAAGCAGTTGCTGTACAGTGCTGTACAATAACACACCGCCCTTATTCCCTTTCCATCGGGACTGTGCGAGAGAGAACGAACAATAAAAACAGAGTGCTTCCTTTTCTACGAGAGTTATACCCCCACTCTTGAAATTTGGGAGAACGCGCAGTCTAGATATACTATGTCTATGATAAAGACTGACAGCCCTGGGTAAATTTTCGTATCAGTCAAAGGGCCTCAAGGGATCCGGAGGTAATTGAAAAACAATGATAACAATGACTGCTTTAGCTACGCCACCGACGAAGTGATATTAAAAACTATCAAACCTAAATAAATTTTTATATTGGCCAAGAAGGCCCTGAGGGGCTCGGAGGTAATTAAAGAGCGATGATAATATCAAGAAAACACGAACATTTACCCCATACTATACCTTGATTACCATCGCAATACAGATTATTAACAATATAAAAATATCAGATAAATATATCGTTACTATAAGTGTCTGAAAAAATTGTTTACTTTTTTCTAAGAATTCTTCCGGTGGTCGTAGGAAGTCAGGAGAGGTGCCATTTTCTTCATCTCGTCGAGCATAACTGAATGCTGTTCTAAAAGTTCACAAAAAACGCTCGGTTTAGATTTCTATAAATTTCATGGGCTAATAAAAATAAAAATCTAAACCAGGCACTTTTTATGAACTTTTTGGAATGCATTCGGTAGTGCTCGTCGAGATAAAGAAAATGACAACTCGCGCGACTTCCTACGACCACCAAAAGTACCTGAAAAAATTGATTATTTCCAAAAGCATGCATTTTTTCAAGTACTTCCAGTAGTGGTAGAAAGTCGGGTGAAATGTCATTTTCTTTGTCTCGATAAGTAGCGTCGAATGCAATTCTAAAAGTTCACAAAAGGTGCCTGGTTTAGATCTTTATAAATTTCATGGGCTTATAAAAATGAAAATCTAAACCAGGCGCTTTTCATGAACTTTTAGAATTGCATTCGGTAGTGCTCGTTGAGACGAAGAAAATAACACCTCTCACCCAACTTTCTACGACTACCGGAAGTGCCTGAGAAAATTGTTTACATTTTCCAAAAATCATGAATTTTTTCAAGCACTTCCGGTAGTTGTAGAAAGTCGAGTGAGATGCCATTGTCTTTGCCTCGACGAGCATTACCAAACACAATTCTAAAAGTTCACAAAAAGCGCCTGGTTTAGATCTCTCCAAATTTCATAAGCTTATAAAAATAAAAATTTAAATTAAGCGATTTTTGTGAAGTTTTAGAATCGCTTTCGGTAGTGCTCGTTGAGACAAAGAAAATGACACCTCGCGCAACTTTCTACGACCACCGGAAGTGCCTGAAAAAATTATTTATAAATTCTAAAAATCATGAATTTTTTCAAGCACTTCCGGCAGTCGTAGAAAGTCGGGTAAGGTGTCATGTTTTTTGTCTCGATCAGTACTACCGAATGCAATTCTAAAAGTTAACATAAAGCGTCTGGTTTGTATTTTCATTTCTATAGCCTCATAAAATTAATGAAGTCAGGACGAAGAAAATGACACCTCTCACGACTTTCTACGATCATCGGAAGTGCTCGAAACTTGGAGCTATATTTTCATAAACTCAAACAATTTTTTCAAGCACTTCCGGTGGTCGTAGAAAGTTGCGTGAGGCGTCATTTTCTTCGTCTCGACCAGCATTACCGAATGCAATTGTAAAAGTTCACAAAAACACTTGCTTTAGATTTTTATTGATTTTATTGGTTCATAAAAGTGGATATTTAAACCAGGCGCTTTCTCCAATAGAAACAATTCTTAAAGTTGTTAGCCCATGCTAGTTTTACATGAAACTTAGTTTATTTTATTGATATCGTCACATCACATGAAACATCACATGTCACATCACGTAAAAACTCACAAACTTGGTACTCTGATGGGACACGGAACTCGGGCACCCCGAAAGGGCTCTTTGGATTACAAGTCTATCACTTTAACACACTACACCAATTTTCAACTTTATATAAACGTGTTTACTTTGAGTATAATCTTGAAGTTTCAGTAATGTTTAAATGAGAATGTTATAATGTTGCAAATCTAATATCAAATTATAAACATTTTTTAATCGTTGCATTAACATAAAATAAATGTTAAAATAATATTTAAAAAATATTTGCTATAATATTTTATAAAATGTTTTAACAACATACAGAAAAATCATATTGCAAAATCATATTTTTTAAATGTATATATAATATTATTCAAGAAACGTTCAAAAATTTGCATAAAATCAACATTTCTAAACATTAATTTCATGTTCCTTGCTTACTGGGAACAAGGAATCCTGACGGATATTATTCAAGCATGAAAGAGATTTCGCGATGCAACAGACACTTAACAATCGCCAAAATATATGCGCATAATGCGAACGCGTTGCAACAAATTCTGAAATTCTTGAATAAAATTTTTTCGCTATACGGTCGCGGACATAAGGTTGTTACTTTTTTTTTAATGACTTTCGGGATGCATCCCGACTCGAGAAAGATGAGAGCTGCTGCTCCGCCTGCGCAGTACGCCTGCGCAGTAACTCACAACGAAAGGCGAGAAATGAAATATACGTGGTATGACATAAGTATGTCAACCATCATTGCGTTCAGCGAAGAAAACCGCTGAGTGAGCGATTAGTGACTATTGGTCCTTACTGTCAGATCCTTACATTCAGACCAATAACGTTGACGAATTATTCAACAGTTGCTCAACCGTTGAGTCAACCGTCGTGAACGCACCCAATTCTTACATTTTGAAAAATCAGCAGCGGAGGGATAGATACATAGTGCAAGTCACTCAAATGGGAATACGTCTTTTGCAAGGTATTGAACAGGTATGTATATTAAATTTTAAGTGAAATCGTATTTTTTTTAGTCACTAATCGCTCATTGAGTGGTTTTCTCCGCTGGACGCAAATGATTGTTGATATACTTATGGTATACCACGTATATTTAATTTCTTGCCTTTCGTTGTGAGTTACTGCGCAGGCGTGCTCTGTAGGCGGAGCAGCAGCTCTCATCTTTCTCGAGTCGGGATGCGTCCCAAAAGTCATTTAAAGAAAAGTGACAACCTTTATGACTGCGACCGTACACTTATAAATATTAATAGAACGACGTACACTCGTGAACTAAAAGGTATGTGCACCGATTTTTTGTTGACTTCGGAACGCGCTCCAACTTGAGGAGAAAGACAACCACTGCTTCATACGTCAGCGCTGTCACTTATTACGAGAGTAGAAGGATGGCATATACGAGTGTCAAATAAGTAGTGATTGTGGCGTAAACACAAATGTCTTGGAGACTTTGAGTTATAATTGAAAAAATGAAGAAAACAAATAGTAGACTGTGAAGAAAAGTGGCAAAAGGCTTCATAAAATTTGTAAAACAGTATTAAAGGAGAATATTAATTGTCTAATAATATTTTAAGTGAAAAATATTTTTTATAGCTATAAAAAATAATATTATAGCTATAAGTTTGCCTTCGACGTTAAATGAATATGTATGTAATGCTATCATTTACATAGGTGGAAAATGTTATTGTGCTCATAAAAAATAAGCAGCAGACCAAGTCGAGTGATATTTTTTTAACAAGATACTCATATCACTCAACTTGGTCTGCTGCTTACTTCTGCTGAACACAATAATATAATTCCTCACCTATGGAAATAATAGCATTATATATATATTCATTCAACGTCGATGACAAATTTATTAACATTAAAGAAATTATGGTTTATAACTTTTTTAACTTACACTCAAGTTTAAAAATATTTTTCACTTAAAATATTATTAGACTAATTAATACTCTCCTTTAATATGCTGTTTTGCAAATTTTATGAAGCCTTTTGCCACTTTTCTTCACAATCACTTATATTTGTTTTCTTCATTTCTTCAATTATAACTCAAAGTCTCCAAGACATTTGTGTCTACGCCACAATCACTACTTATTTGACACTCGTATATGCCATCCTTCTGCTCTCGTAATAAGTGACAGCGCTGACGTATGAAGCAGTAGTTTTTCTCCTCAAGTTGGAGCGCGTTCCGAAGTCAACAAAAAATCGGTGCACATATCTTTTAGTTCACGAGTGTACGTTTCAATATTTTGCGAAATTGATTTCATATAAAAGAACAAAGTAGGAAAGGTACATTAGTCGCAAATCGCAAACAAATTAATCATAGTCGATTGTTCTTTAATCGCAAGGAGAACAGTTGACCGCGATTAGTCAATTTGCGACTAATGGATTTTTTAAACAAGAACAAAAAAAGTTTTTTAAAAAAGAATATGTCTGTTCTTGCACTGCTGAACTAGTGCAATAAGCTAAAATGAGACAACTATATTTTTCTCACTCTGAAGCCAGCGGCACACGGTACTTGTTTTCGTGCTGGAAATGCACCAATCAGAACGCAATATTTTCATCCAGCAAGCAATCCAGCACAAAAACAAGCACCGTGTGCCGCTGGCTTAACTTATTGCAGCAGTTTAGTAGGGCTGGGTTCCGATATTCACTGCTTCTGATATTCAGCACTGAAAATCTATAGTATACGTGACACATATTATGTATTTTCAGTAGTGGCAGTGGATTTTGGAACGCAGCCCAGGTAGCGAAAAAGAACAGGCCAGTTCTAATCTCTTTTTCTAATGACTCCTACGGTATTCCCTAGTCTTCCCTAGGCACTTCCACCGCGCGCAGCAAGTGTTGGCACTTCCTGCGTGCTAGAGCGTGGGACAGTGCTGTCAGGTGCAATATATTGCGACGCTACAGCGCATGCGTGAGATGACGTAGAGCTCTATGCCAATGACGGCAATAAAGCGCATCGCAGGGTCCATGAAGGGGCCCGCGCTATCCGATCAGCTGTCTTCCAGGCTCCAATGTAATTTTCCCGTGCTTCTTGCGCGAGTGCCTTATCTTAGATTATATTGTTCAGTGGATACTAAATATCAGTTATATTAACAATATAAGTCCAGTGGATACTAAGTAACAATTACGTTATATTAACATTATAATTTTTCACTCAACTATGTAACTGTTACATAATATTTGTATTAGACTCATATTAGACTATAGATTGAGAATCACTATCAGATCAATTAAAATAACCACGATTTAGATTATCTAATTTACTCGATTGCAATTTTCAATGCATAGTATAATATGGGCGCTATAATACCTTAAAAAAGATACGATACTGAGACTTTCACTCAAACAGGGAGCTTGTCATCTCACGCATGCGCTGTAGCGTCGCAATATATTGCACCTGACAGCACTGCCATGGGATTACCACAGACTTCTATAGTATAACTAGACTGCTAACTCCCTTATATACTGGAGCACAAAATTGACTCCAAAAATTATGTATTAAGTCAGCGGCACACGATGCTTGTTTTCGTGCTGGATTGCTTGCTGGATGAAAATACTGCGTTCTGATTGGTGCATTTCCATCCATCTACGGAAATGCACCAATCAAAACGCAGTATTTTCATCCAGCAAGCAATCCAGCACGAAAACAAGCACCGTGTGCCGCTGGCTTTACATAAGGGAATCAAACATCTGCGCATGCGTACATTGGAGTCCACAAGAGAGGGGATATATAAGCAATATGGCCCATCCAATTAGAAGAAATGTGTTTTGATTCAACCAATCAAATGTGAATGTCGGACACCAGGACGATACATACTTTTCGGGGTCATGTATTGAGTCGGAGTTAGCAATCTAGTTATACTATAGAAATCTGTGGGGCTTATACAGGCAGGGATATCGCCTCGAGTTGTCCATCTTGAGTACTAGGCCAATGATCGGGAGCCACGGTTGTGAGCGTCAACGGCAGTTTTGTTGTCCTCTCGCATCTCGCATCTGTGCGCGAGCGATTTCGTACGGCGGAGAGTTGTAGCGCCGATACAAAGTGAAAATGAGCGCCGAGGAGGAAGTGTTGCGCATACAGAAGAAGCTCATCAAAATGTCCAGCGGTGACGGGACGGTGAGTAAGTGAGTAAAATAAAGATCGCAGTATCTTTGCCCGGGTGCGCTCCAAGCTGACAAGAAAGGCGCTGTTCTTGTTTGACGAGCGTTCGAGCCGCGCATTATCGGCGAGCGTCATGAGAGAACATGTGTAAACAAGCACGTGGAGATACTGCTCTCTCTCTCTCTCTCTTTCTCTCTCTCTCTCGCTGAGAGTTTGCTCATTACGAAATGCGATATCAACGTTCACCCCCTCCGAGTTTGCACAGCGTATCCGCTACACAGCAGTAGTGCTTACTTTTGGCGCGTAGAATTCTAACGTCCCAACGATACGTATGCTCGGCGTAATGTGCTGCATCTTTTGACATCTAATTCTTCTCGTGCCCCTCTACAGCGAGTTGATTTTTGCGAATGGCGTTTCTTTCTTGTATACTTGACACGTGTTCCTCTGGAGTATTAAGCTACGTAGAGAAACTTTCTGTCGATTACCTACGAAGAGCGAAAAGGCGTGTGAGAGAGAGAATGTGTGTAGGTATCAATAGATTTGAATGTTGCTATGAAATGTTATTAAGAATCAAATAGGATAATGTAATCTTATTTCGAAGAAAAATGTTCCCATTGGGAGACAGTTATCTGTGCAATTTAATCTTTCTGCCGACACAGGGCCAGGAACAGGCTTTAGAATTGCTCAAGATACTTCAGAAACTGCCTGTAGACTTGGAGCTTTTAACTAAAACACGTATTGGAATGACCGTGAATGCTTTGAGGAAATCCAGCAGGGATGAGGAGGTGATTTCCCTCTCAAAGACTCTCATCAAAAACTGGAAAAAATTCTTGTCAGGCATGTGTTTCATACTAGCGTAAGATGCGAGGAATGCTGACATGAGAACGAGTGAACAATCTCTGATTTTTCAGGATCCAACAAAGAAAAGGACTCTACTTCATCGAGTAGTTCAAAGAAAAGGGATGAGAAATCAGACAAGAGCAAGGAAGAGAATGATCAGAGGAAGGAGAAAGACATGATGGATGGCAGTGACGCCAAAATGAAGGAGGACAAACCCAGCAAAGATGTTCAAAGAAAGCAGTTGTCCTTTCCGGCTCCCACCACGACGGACGCGGTCAGATTAAAATGCAGAGAGCTGCTAGCTGCGGCATTGCGCGTGGACGGGAAGGTCATCGACGGCTGTGCCAGTCCGGAGGAGCTAGCGGAGGAGTTGGAGGAGGCGATCTATGCGGAATTCAAAAATACCGACAACAGATACAAAAATAGGGTAACTAGTCGAGCACCGTCAAGAGCGTGCGGCCTTTCGTTAATTTTGTGAGACCGACGCGAATCTTTGAATGACAGGTTGATATGACAGGTCAGTCTGTTTTCAAAGAACTGATTTAGTGCGCACTATTGCAATATAAGTTAGAGTGAAAGGGAGTGCACACGTTTTTTACTCCAATTAGTCGCACTAGCTCGGAAGTTCCTCGCGAAAATGAGCAACAGACGTATTTGCACGGTGCACGTCACACTCGAATAATCACTATTACGGTTCCACTGCAGGTACGCAGTAGAGTCGCCAACCTGCGCGACGTGAAGAACCCAAATCTGCGCACCAACTTCATCGTGGGCGCGATCACTCCAGCGCGGCTCGCGGTGATGACGGCGGAGGAGATGGCGAGCGACGAGATAAAGCAGCTGCGCGAGCAGTTCAAGAAAGAAGCCATCAACGACGCGCAGCTGGCCACCGTGCAGGGGACAAAGACCGATCTGCTCAAGTGCGGCAAATGCAAGAAGCGCAACTGCACGTACAATCAGGTGCAGACGCGCTCGGCGGACGAGCCGATGACCACGTTCGTGTTATGTAACGAATGCGGCAATCGGTGGAAGTTCTGCTAAGAAGCGTCCTAGAGGGAAGAAGAAGAAGAAGAAGCGGAAGTTCCGATTTACAATCTCGTCTTCGTTCACCGCTTCGCAGCGGACTCGACAAAACTCTCGTATCTTGATCGTCTCTACCTAGCGTTCAAATACCTTCGCGAGACGAGTATCTCGTGATGAAGTTATCGTAACGATGTTATGTAAATTTCGTAGACTCTCGATCAGTACGATTGCACCCAAAAGTCGCCCGATTGCGCCTCCTCCAACTCGTAGGACGCGCGCGTCCTGCCAGCTGGGGGATGTATATTGTATGTAAAGATTATTATATTATACATTACATATATATATATATATATATATATATATGTATATATATGTATATTCGCGAGGAGTTGCATTCAAATTTCTATATTAGCCGCTCGTATGAATAATGCTGCATGTCACGCGGGACGCTCGAAACTTGCCGTGCGCGAAACCTTCCATGTCGAGAGTCTACCGGCGCTACACAGACCGCGAGGAGGCGCAGAGAATGTACGTTGGCCGATCGAGAGCGTAGCGGCAAAAGGTGTCTCGGTCCCCGCGCTACTGTGTACATATTGAGACCGATCAGGCTCGATGTCAGGCTCGAGCTTTCTGATGAGTACTTTGAACCTAGAGTGGATTCTATACACAGTAATATACATGTGTACGCGAACTTCCCGACGTAAGAGACTACAGTAAGAGACGGCATTTCAATCGACACGTTTTTATCCTAATCACGATCGTGACTGTTGATACACGGAGACATCTCTCGCTTTTGTGCATAATCGCGTGATGTAGTAGATCTCGTCTCTCTATCACTCTGCTGTAAAATTCAAACACCCCGTACTCTGACGACTGTACCTACAATTATAAAATATATAAATATATATGTACAAGAGGTGTGCGTGTGTGTGTGTGTGTATGTATGTGTGTGTGTGTTTATATATGTATGTATGTATGTCGCGTGCGTCACCCGATCTTTCTCGCCTGAGTGTTCCTCTCTCTCTCTTTCTCTCTCTCTCTTCCGTGCCCGACCGCCGCGAAGAGACTCGCCAGACACCGTGACGCCTTTATAACACAATGACTATACTTTTTATTTAAAATTACTTCTTTTTACGAGGTACATTTATATACATAAAAAATTTATGACTATTACATTAAGCTTATGCAATATAGACAGTATATTCGTGCATGTATAATAACGTAACAGTAGAGCTTTGTTAATTCACATTTATACCCGACGTTCGGACAGAACTTAGTCATTTACATCTAGTTTGTATCAACTTGCCATGCTGGGTGTGATACCGGAATGTCATAAGTTTCTCTCTCTCTCTCTCTCTCTCTCATACTTCGAACAAAACTCACGCGTGGAAACGTCGTATAGCGCGCCGTTGTTCGACGCTCAGGCGAAGCGCTCGTGGAGACGCGCGTTTTCACAGTTCGAGCTCTTTACTTATTTCGTTATTTCGACGATTAATCGACCGGACAGTTGCGCGTTTGATGTTAAAGACACAGCTGTGTACGAGTTAGCGAGGCTCTGCAAGAAGGGGTCTTCGGAAGATCGCAGCTGCGGAGTTCGAGGTTCGCGCACAGCCAGAGGCGCATGCTTGATCTTCCTTGGCGAGAATTTCGCAGGACGAATAGCTTTGTATTCAGCACTAAATACGCGGAGTCGCGAGCCTGCGCGTCTCCCGGGTACCTTGCCTCACTTGAGCGTCGACGGGAGCGCGCGCGCAACGATAGATCCAACGACGACCAAATAAAGCGAACGAGGATAGGGGCGGGGATCGCGAGAATGAAGAATCTGTTTATGCCAAAATGACGTTTGTAGGCCCGCGACGAGAGAGAATCGCTCTCTTTTGAGGTGTCTCTCAGTTCGAAAACTGCGTCCACGTAATTCCAAGGAGGAAAAAACTAAATCCACCCACCATCGTTTTCCCACGACACGACGCGCGCTCGGTTAATCTTCGCTCTTAAATTATCGTAACTGACGAATACGCTATTTCTCTCTCTCTCTCCCTCCCTCCCTCTCTGTCTGAAGTTACCTTCGATAATAATACGACAGTCATTTACCGTCTTGAGTCGATAACAGACTGGTGTGTTTTTAACGAATCGTCAACGTTTCTTTTTCTTTTTTTCTTTTCTTTTTCCTCTCTCTTCTCTCTCTCTCTCTCTCTCTCTCTCTCTCTATCTCGCTACTAGCTTACTGTATACACACATATAGGCTGGGCTCGTATTTATACTTAATATACATCGAGTCGATCTTTACATGCAGCATTTCCTCAGTGAATTTCCTTTTATCGGGACAACATTTAACAGACATTTGAGATTCTTGCGATACACGGATATATAATGTATATAGATCGGTATTTTAATATATATAGAATTATAGATATACTCTTTATGTGTATATATATATATATATATATAATATATATATATATCCTGCATGACAAACTTCACACACGTATACACACCACATATATACATATATACATACATATACATATGTATGCATACATATATATCACATGTGCATCCTTATAACTCGCGTTTATCAATAGACTTTTTCCTCTTATATCCATCTCTGTTTCTTTTATCATTTTCTTTTCTCCGTAAAATGCATGACACAAAAATAAATGCTTGTATCTGTGAATAATTATATTTGTCTTCTCTATCTATCTTCCTTTCGCTCCTTCCCTTTTTCTCCTTCACTCTCTCACTCACTCACTCACTTTCTCTCTCTCTCTCTCTCTCTCTCTTTCTCCCCCTTACATGTACATTTTCGCGACGTATATTCCTTAATTAACCGTAACGTTAGCTTCTTCTTTTTACAAAATATCACAAAAATCACACCAGCCTTTGTTCGCAGCAAAAAACCAAGTTATTGTTGTTGTTTAAATCTCGTGAGAACGCCACTGACAAGACGTCCTACGGCAGCGTCCCCTGCGACTCGCCCCTCGCGCGTTCGAAAACATTAACAACAAATATCAAATATCGGCAGTGCCGACGCGAGCCCACGTCGGGAATCGCCCAGGATGACGTCGACCGCCGGACACAACGGTCGATTCTCTCACAAAGCGTCGCATGAATCGACCGACAAAATACTCGCTTGAAAATTAGAGTTTCCTTCAAATATCCATCATTAGAAACAACGGAGACACGCAGCCACCTGTGCGAATCCAAATTTTCCTCAATCAGGATGCAAATTCAAGTCATATTTTACAATAATTTCATTTACAATTTGCTACGCACGCGATAATAAAATTTCAACTCCAACCGAACTCGTCCGCACGTCGAGTTGCTCTCGCAGTGGAAAGATACGATCAGACGACAACAGCCGCGTCGGCGGCCTCTCTTGCTGAGAGAGAACGCGACGAGCGACATCGACGCGTGTCGCACGACACCCTGGGGTGTCCCCGTCGTCCCGACACCCGCGTGGCTCGCGTCGCGTGCACGCGCCCGCCGCGCACATGTTCGCAGCACACGACATCATAACACCGCCTTAGGATCTAGACATCGACTTTTCTCTCGTCGTTGCGTATCGCGACTGCTACGACGCGTCGCCTCGACTCCCGAGAAGAAGCCAGAGACAAGGGCGGCTGCCGCACACCAAGGAGCCCTCGCTGCATCTCTCTGTCTCTCGCTGCACGACGACCGGCTCTCCAACAGCGGCTGCTCCGCAGCAACTCCGGATGCACGGAGGGACAGGGAAAGCGAACGAACCGGACGACGAGACAATTAAGCGCTAGTGACCAGCACCACGATGCGCGCTCGCGCTCGCACGCCCGTCTTCGTCGGGGCTGAATCGGCGCGCGGGAGGCGGAGGAAACACACCTAACTCATCTACTGTCTTTTATAAATATGTTTGTCCGATCGTCCTACTCGCACACGCACTCACTCTTCTTCTAGCGAGGCCTTGCATGCCTGACATACTCTGCAAATCTCTTTCTCTCTCTCTCTCTCCTCTCTCAACAACTTTCCTTTTCACTCACACGACCCGAGACTTTATCCCGCGAGAACGTTCGAGGTACTAATTTGACCAACGCGCTTACCGATGTACACTCATTGCGCAACGACTTGTTCAATCGTATCGATATTCTCCCTCCCCCTCTCTCTCTCTCCGCACGGGACAACAACACACGACAATCACTCGGGAAAACCAGCGACCGCTCGGTTGGACTTTTAGGTCCATATTCTGAACTCTCTGTCATCATTAAAAGTAGTTTATAACCAAACAGAAGGCTTATAAGCCACTTTTATAGTCACTTTTAGTGATGGAAGGTCATTCAGAATATGAGTCTTACTCTACGGCGTGTCGTCCCCATAACGACACACGTAGGCGCGATGAGAAGAATCTCTCAGATACGCGTTCTCTCTTCTTCTCTTTGTACGCCGACGTGTTCAACGCAGCCTTCTCCCTGCGTCTGTCAAGCGTCTCCCTGCGTTAGTCCTCCCCCGAAAGTGTTTCGATAAGATACGAGTCGTTGAAAAGTGTTTCAAGCGGAGACGCTCGCGGTCGCGGCATTAGCATTCGAAAAATATATACACGACGATGCGCGCGGAGTTATCACGAATAATTAATTCTTCCTGCGAATTATCCAAGGCAACACGATGCATCATCAGACTTGTTTTGTATGGTGGCTTCGAGAAGTGGGTTTTTTCTCAGCATCATATTTCGCTTAATTCACGTCGGTGAAGCGTCAACAAGTCGCTCGCGAATGTTATGTTTGTTTTTACCGTTTTATTTCTCTTCGTCAAAAGACAACGCGCGTCGTTCGCGATTCGTCTTCTCCTCAGCGAGTTGTTATCAACAAAACAACGACGCGCTTGATCCGCACAATATTTGTTTCTCCTGCACGGAAGGATCAAGCGGACAAAAGTTACAAAATGCTCTCGCGCTTTCCAGTTCTCACTCGAGTATCGAGCTGTCAAAGTCATTCGTTGTTCGTCGATAAGACACTGGTATCGAAAAGATTTGTCAAGCGGCATCCAATTCGCTCGAGCGAGAGCCCGAGTTTTCTCGCGTGCGCTCGAGTTTCTCTCCGCCCGACAATGTCAACGCAACGATTTTCGTTATGGAAAAGAAGATATCTCTCTCGCTGGATCCGTATTAAAAAGAAGAAAGAAGAAAAACAGAAGAGAGAAAAAGAAATCTACAACCGGATGACGAATTCACGATCGCTCGTCGCTGCTCGTGTGATTCATCGCTAAGACTCTACTACAACAACAATCTCTCCCGCGTACCGAACAACGCGCAAGAACAATAAAAACATCTGCAATACTCACAAACAACTTTACACATCCACGTGTCTAGCATAAAAACAAGAGTAAGAGAAGTCGGCGAGCCGTCGAGCTCTTCCCGAAATCTTTACACAGATCACTTCTTCCTCGTTACTCGGCCGTCGTTTATTCGCAACTACGGTCTGTAGAAAAAAAAGAAAGAAAAAAAAAAAGAAAGAACAACTGTGTGTGTGTGTGTGTGTAATGTAAATCGTAAATCCCAGACCACCGTGCGGCGATCTCGCACGCGTCGTCCGCTCTCTGTGCTCGCCCGCGAAGCGCGATCAGCAGCTGTCGCGAGACGGTGAGCAGGCCAGTGGCCGTGCGCGACGACGGATATTATCACTGAGAAATGCACCTCTTAGAGAGAGATATCCCAAAGAGCATTTGCACAGTTTCCCGGTACAATAGATTACGCTTGTTCTACATCTAGCAGAATGATTAACGCGCGTCTCATTTGGCCTCGTCCTGCTCCATCGGCTCCTCGGACACCTCTCGGGAATGTTCTGGCGTGGTTCTGCAAAATTCACCGACCGCCCCGTGAACAAGTGACCTACATGTGATACGAGTGATTTTGCCGAATTTGATATGTGCTTTAGCACTACCATCCCGCTAATTAAGAATCAAGCGACTCGACGCAATTCAACTCAAGCATTCACGAGAAAAATGAGTTTAAAGTTTACGTACCAAGTTGCAAAAAGACAGATTTTCAACGAGCAGCGAGGGTCGAGATGGTGAGGCGATTGTTTGGTACGACGCTAGGATGCTACATGTTATGGGAACTCGGGGATCTTGCCTTTTTCAATTTTGATCAACGGTAAAGCGCAAAAAAATAATTTAGTTTGCTTATATAACACGCATTTGCCACGCAACAAACAAATTTTAACTTATTTTCCACTTTTGTCACATCTTTGTTTCTACACGTTGTATTTATAACGACGGATTTCGAATATTCTCGACTATAGAAAGTGTTTCTTGTTGATAGAATGCTAGACCATCAGTTGTTTTCGGGCAGAGCATGAGCCTAATATTTGCAGTGTAGAGAATAATGTAAGGGGCGATTTTTAAAAGTGCAACAGCCTGGTATCGGAAACATCAGTGAAAAACATGGCAAGTAAATATTATAAACAAGTAAATTAAATTTTATTATATTTTCAATGATAAAAACATACTATATAATATTGCGTAGATAAAGGAAAAAACAATTGAAAAAAACAAGAACTCGCAATATGCATAGTTCCATCGTATCAACTGATCGCTTTACTACCTCGACCACCGCTGCTGGTTGGAAATGGTTTGTTTTTACAACTCTGTACAAATGCCACACGAAGAACTTTAACCCTTTGAAGCACAGCGGGACTCTGTGGAGTCCCACCTTTTTTCTTTCATTTTATTATGTTTTTCAGGTGTAAAAAACTCGATTTTCTTGCTGTTTTTTGTGTTTTCATTCGAATATTATGTCATCAAGTATGTTGTAATGTGTAATTCTCATAAATTGTTTATGAAATTGTTTATATAAATAGTTAAACGCAAAAAAGTGTTTTTTGTACAAAAAATTCGTCAAAGAGAACAATTATAGCTATATGGATGACAATTGATACCCTGGAGTATCAGGGGTTTTCGAGGCCGCCGGTTACGAATCCGGGGTCAGAATTTCGAAATTCAAAATGGCGGATCCAATATGTTGGACAAAATGTTCAAAATCCTTCGATTTCGACAGAGATACATGGAGGTTTTTTAGGTCGCTGATTACGAATTTATTATCAAATTTCCGAAATTCAAAATGGCGGATCCAATATGGCGGACAAAAATGTTCGAAATCCTTCCATTTTGACAGAAAGAGATACATGGAGGTTTTTTGGGTCGCTGATCACGAATTTATCAGATTTCCGAAATTAAAATCCATATCATATCAAAATGTGCCATTTGAAGTCGCCATATTGAATCGGCTATTTTGAATTTTTTAATTTCGACTCTGTATCTGTCATCTGTGATCGGAAGCACATATATATACCGAGTTTGATACATATCCACATCATATCAAAGTTAGCCATTTGAAGTTGCCATATTGAATACGCCATTTTGAATTTTAAAATTCTGACTTCAGATTCGTAATCAGTGACCTAGAAAATTCCTATATACATGATCAGTTTCCTTTATTATTGTAGCATAGCGAAATTCGTGCTTCAATGGGTTAAACTCATTTTTCCTGCGAGTCACTTTACTATTAATTAATGGGAGGGTAATATTAAAACATCAAATATCAAATTCGGCAAAATCAGTGAGGACAATGATACTCTTCTTGTTGGCAGAATCACTGAACAGCTTCGAAAACATACACTCATAAGGTACAACACGACGCACAAACGGACTCGATACTAACGTAAGGTTTGTAGGCTGCTGCATCGACAGGGAGGCCATGGCGGACACCGTTTCCGTCTCGTCGTGTTCCTTCTGGCTCGCCTCTATCGCGCTCATGCCCACCGTGTGAGCGGCGAGCTTCACGCAAGGCCAATGTGACATCTGCGGAACGACGTGGTGAACGTGAGTCGTGCGTCGGCGCTCAAGTTGAGTCGAATTCGCGATTCGACTTGTACTCGATCGAAGATGTGGCGACAACGAGGCATAACCTCGGGTTAATAACATCAACCCGTTGACCCAAATATTCACAGACAAGTTATCTCTTCTATAGAAGCAACTTCTATAGATTAGGAAAGGAACGTTTTTCTTATCCCGTAGTTTACTCTTGTAAACGTTTCTGCAGGGCACAAATTTCCCTCGTAACAAACTTGCAAAGTCGCACTCTTGGATCGAACACACCAGCCGAGGACTACGACGTTGTCGACGACTCCTACCTGGATGGCGATAGTCTTCTGCAACGTGTCAATGGCGTTCTGACAGGGGATCCTGGTGAGCTCGTCATCCCGCAGCGGGCTGGGCTCGTCGCCGAGCAGAGCGCGGACGCATTCCTGAGCGGAGTCGCAGATCGCTGCCAGGTCGTAGCCGCCCTCGAGCGCGAGGATGACCTTACCGTCGGCTAGATTAAGTAACTGCTGCGTCATCCTGCCGAAGCACGCCGGGCTGACCTTGTAGCCGCCCAACGGCGCCGGGTGGCCCACGGCGGCGTCGAAGCCGGCCGAGACGATAACGATGTCCGGGTCGAACTCCTTGGCGATCGGCATGACGATCGTGCGGAACGCTGCGAGATACTCGGCGTCGCCCATGGGAGGATTCAGACCGCCGGACCACGCCACGTTGACGTTGTAGCCGAGACCCTCGCCGGCGCCGCATTCGGTGGGCCCGCCGGTGCCGGGGAAAAAGTTGCCATCGTCGTGTCTGTGTATCGAGAGGTACAGGACCTGCGGGTCGTCGTAGAACATCTGCTGGGTGCCGTTCCCGTGATGGACGTCCTGGCGGAGTAAAAAGGACGCAAACGATATGAGCGTTTAGAGAAGGAGAGAAAAAGAGGCGTCCGGAAGTATTTATAATCGCAGCTCGATCTGGGCTCGCGGGAGGACCCGCGTTACGTCGCATTGTTTAAACCGTGTCCGTGCTGTGTAGAAATGTCTAAAATTGAGAGCGCGTCGGTGCTATTGTCCCGCGTGTCCGTCGTCGATCGCGTGTGTGTGTTCTCCTCTTACCCAGTCGAGGATGAGGATTCTCCTGACGTCGAGTTTCTGCTGCAGTAGCCTAGCCGCGATTGCCACGGAGTTGAAGAAGCAGAAGCCCATCGCCTGGTTGGTCTCGGCGTGGTGCCCGGGCGGTCTCACGACGGCGAAGCCGTTCTTAATGTCGCCCATCGCCGCCTTGAACGCAAGGTCGACGACACAGCCCACCGCCATCCTGGCGGCGGGCGCAGTGTTCAGCTCGTTCCACGTGGTGTCGGAATCGACGCCTACTCCGCCGCAGGGGAGTCGGACGAAGCTCTTGATAGGCAACTGCGACAGCTTCGACATGTCCAGTTTCTGTCGATTCAATGGATTCGTCCCTGCCGCGACAAGCAACACAAATTGCAGATCAGCAATCGGGACTCGATGATTAATACGCGGTTCGGCTTGGGTCAAGCGGAAGCTCCACAGTTAAGATTTCTTTCAGCCGCTGCGCGCGCTTCCAATCGAATCCGTCTCTGCTTGAGCGCAAGAGGACTCGATCGAGCCGAAGAAAGCTTCAAGGTCCCGCTGGTTGTGCAAGAATCTGACAATTCTGATTACTGGGGGCTGTGCGACGTGTCATTCTTACTCCAACTTGCAAATTGTAGATTCGCTCTGGCAGCACTTCCTTCCACTTCCAAGTGATGAAATAATAAAACAATGCTCACCAAACAGAAGGGCGTGCGCCTCGCTGTGACATGTCTGAATTTCCTCGAGCGTGGCCTTGCGCGAGCGCACCCGGTCGCACCGCTGCAGCAGCCCGGTCTCCGACAGCCTAGCCCACACGCTCTGCAGCCGGCCGCCGTGCTCGGGATGACCTCTGACCGTTTCGCCGCAGGCGCACGCGTGCTTCAGCATCAACGGGTCGTAGGCTAATCCCGTGGTGGGTCGGTGGGGGGAACCGCGCGCGAACATGTCGCCGCTGCCACCCTGGGGACCTTGATGCAGATTCAAATTATGTTTCATGAGCCGAGAGAGCATAAGATCAGCCTGAGCCCTTTGCAAATTTCGATTCGCCCTTATGTTCTGATCTATATGACCCGAAATGAAATTTAACTCTGCATAACTTTTTTTATACTCAATTGTTGGTACTCTGTGTTTCACTTTCTTTTCGTGTATACTTTGTGAAGTGAAGAAGAAGTCATGAAATACAGAGTTACCAATAATCAGATATAAAAGATAGAGTTAGATTTCTTTTCGGATCCGATCATACGAGACCCGAGCAGAACGTAAGAGTTAAACTTTCACGCGCATCAACGATCTATCAAGGCCGTAAGCACTTTGTGGGGTCTTGAGAGTGGACATTCTCTTCTCTATTCTACGCACCATGTCGCGGACGCGGACAGTCTTCAGAGTCTCGCGATCGTGTTCGTATCACGTGTACGAGATTCTCCACGAAGAATCGACAGAGAAACCGAAGACTGTTCAGTTCATTCAACGTATCCACGCCATATCTACGCAAGAAGAGAAGAGGGCTCGATGAGCAGCCTTTACCTAGATGCACCAGCGGGCTCGACAACGCCCTCGAGAGTGGCCTGGCCGATTGCGAGGTCCTGCTGCTGCTGCTGCTGCTGCTGTAGACGGTCGACTCGTTCGTCTGCAGGGTGTGCCGCATCATGAGGTCTCTCTGCTGTTGCAGGAACTGCTCACGGTCCCTCTGCTGCTTCGAGATCTCGCTCTCCTCCGGGTGATCTTTCTTGCCGGTGAGATCTATGACCTCGGACTCCTCGGTCTCCGGCGCCTCGTCCAGCTGATTCGCCTGGCTGCGTGAGCCGACTCGCGTCAGCACCGTCTGGCGGATCTGCTGCTTCAGGTAGTTGTGCGCCTGCTGCTGGTCGTGCAGCTGCTTCTCCGCGAGGTACTCCTCGTAGTGGGTAGTCGGCGCGATTATGCCGCCCTGCAGCATCGGGTGGCCGAGCGGCAACGGCGCCGATTGCGTTCTACCTGTGTGTGCGAGAAGAAAGCGGCAAGAGTGCCGCGCGTGAGTCTCGCGCTTGGCGGTCGCAATGGTGGGCAATGGAAAGAGAGAGAGATAGAGAGAGAGAGAGAGAGATAGATAGATAGATAGAGAGAAAGAGAGAGAGAGAGAGGACGCGTGCTGTGTTTCGCGCGAGAATGGTCCCTCGAGAAACCTCGGAGATGGCCGCTCTGGCCGCTGAGAGTCTGAGCGAGCGAGTCCAGCCTTCGAGCACGAGACTCGTTTCTCTCGGGGCGGCGACCATTGTCCGGAACAGGGCACGCGCGCGTTAAGGGCTTCTACGTAGACAAAGAGGGAACATACTACCTAAAGGCCGGTGACCAGCCTTATGCAGTCTTGCGTGCGCTACTTGTGTATCCGTGATCGGCGCGGCGTGATAGACCTGCCGGCCGCTAGCGGCCACTGGCGGCGCCTGCTCCAGATTCTGCATCTGCTTGTAGATGTACGTCGGCTCGCCCTCGATGACTGTCAGGGACGGATAGAACGGTAGGGTGCCGTGCAGCATCTGACCGGTCAGCGGCATGCCGAAACGCGCCGTGAACGCGGCCCGCACCTCCGCTTCCGAGACGGGCGCCAGCTTCGTTCCGCTCTGCCGGTAGAGAATCGCGGTTCAATCAGCAGCCGCGTAATAAACACACCAGGCGGGATTGTAATATCCCGTGAAATTGCGCTTTTACAAATTATCAGGTTGTTTATTGCTTCATCCGCAAACGGAGGAACTAATCATCTGACGCAGAACCACGACAAGGAAATGATAAAACGAAATGTAATGTAATTGTGCATTATGTTTTCTTTTACCTTTTTACTTGAAGGTTTTACTTGAAGGTAAAATTTGTCGTTATCGGGCAAATAAAGTTAGTAATTCAAATGGTCGTTTTCTTCACATCTCCCTTTGAAATCCCGACATTTGCTCAACATATTATTAATAATGATTAACGGAATTCAAAAAGATTGCGAGAGGAAAATAATAAAACGAAATGAAATATAATTGTGCATTATATTTTTTGTTTGATTCTTTTTATTTAATTCTTGACTTGTACATCAACATTTTGAGAATTTAAGTGACATTTCTGTGACCCCACAAGAAACAAAAGATTATCGGGCAAATAAAGTAAGCAATTCAAACAATCGTTTTCTTTATATCTTCCTTTGAAATCGCGAAATTTGCTCAACTGTTGTCACGTGATAAACAGTGTTGTCAACAAGATTATTAACAATGATTAAAGAAATTAAGAAAAATTGCAAGAAAGAAATAATAAAGCGAAATAAAATATAATTGTTCATTACGTTTCGTTTTATCTTTTTATTTAATGTTTGACTTGTACGTTAACATTTTAAGAATTTAAGTGACATTTCCGTGATTCCACAAGAAACAAAAGGTCATCGGGCAAATAAAGTGAGTAATTCAAATGATCGTTTTCTTTATATCTTCCTTTGAAATCTAGAAATTTACTCAACATTGTCACGTGACAAACAGTGTTGTCAACAAGATTATTAATGATTAACGAAATAAAAAAAAATGCACATTAAAATATTTAAATGTTTCGCCTTCCACCTTACTTTCTACACAAATACGAAATTAAAATTTTGAAAAATACTCATGAGTGAAGGAAGAAGGTCAATGTCTGCAACGAGTAATCTCGCGGGAAAGAGCTTCCCCTTCCGTACTCACCGATGAGCTCGACGGCACGTGAGGTCTGCCCAACGAGATGTTGGGCATGGACGGTGAACTGAAGAGCGAAAGATCCGAGAGGCTGCCTTGCTGACTATTGCTGGTGAGACGACCACCATAAGCCGGATTCTCACCTTCCTGCGACATCAGACAGATCGGACGAGATGTTTTAGTCGCGGCTCACGGGAAATCGCAGTACACGCGAGAGGACTCACTCACCTCCTGTATCGCCGTGTTGCTCCCAGCGGTGGGGCTTGCTTGAGAATTGTTCACGGTCGGCGGAGAGTTAGGCCCGGATTCGGGATTGCTGCCAGAATCTGAAAAAGGCACAATTAATACGTCGAAAGCCCGAGGGCTCGTTGGAGGAGGAATCCGCGTGTCGCGTCTCTCGTTGCGCAACCGACGAAGTAAGACGAAACAAGCGCGCGCGCGCCCGGACTTTGTTCTTGCGAACGCACTCGCGAAAACGATGAGAGAGAGAGAGAGAGAGAGAGAGAGAGAGAGAGAGAGAGAGAGAGAGAGAGAGAGAGAGAGAGAGAGAGAGAGAGAGAGAGAGAGAGAAACTGGCAGAAAGTCGCTCAATGAGATCTCCCCGAAATAACAGCTCCCCACGCGTCGTCACGTACGCGACAACACGCGCGCGTGCACTAAAATCCCGACGGCGCGACGACGATGAGACCGATGCGAACAACGCGACTCGTTCGACGCGTCGTAAAGAAAGAGAAGCCGGAAGACGAGAGAGACGTCCTTCTCAAACCCGCGATTCCTCGCGCGCTAACCCCTCCCCCCGGAGCCCCACTCCCCTTCCGTTTTCGTGGTCCCGTAAGGGAGACACGTATGCTCCCCTTCGCAGCGTCGACTTTTTTTTTTTTACATAATGTTAATCGGAGATGTTTCGTATCATGCTGTTACGGGAGAGTCAGCAAACGTTAAGGAAACGCCACAGTCAATTAATCGAACACGGGGTGCAACGAGAAAGAGAAAGAGAAAGAGAAAGAGAGAGAGTGAGAGAGAGTAAGAGAGAGAGTAAGAGAGAGAGAAAGAGAGAGAGAGAAAGAGAAGAGAGAGAAAGAGAGAGAGAAGAGAGAGAGAGAGAGAGAGAGCGAGAGCGAGAGAGAGAGAGAGAGAGAGAGAGAGAGAGAGAGAGAGAGAGAGAGAGAGAGTAAGAGAGAGCGAGAGGAGGAGAGAGAGAGAGAGAGAGGGAGCGGAGAGGAGAGAGAGAGAGAGAGAGAGAGAGAGAGAGAGAGAGAGAGAGAGAGAGATACGTATGTGTATATATACGCAATAATATGTACGTCGGCGAATGCTCACGCAGAGGAGGAGAGAACTCATTCTAGGAATACTCAGTCCTCGGAAGCTCGAGTGTGAGAGGAACGTACTTGCTAGTAACGACTTCCGCTTGAGGTGCGACAGCAAACGGTCCTTCCGGCGTGCCATGAGGGGTGAGTTTCTCGACGCTGCCATGTTCCTCTCCACGCGCTGTTTTAGTCGCACCTTCAGCAGGTTCGGCTCCGAGGCTGGCCAATTTTCAGCCGGTTGTTAGTCGGTCATTGTCATACCGAGAGAGATAGAGAGAGAGAAACGGGGGCGAGGGCGGGCGAGGCGGCGGCGGCGGCGGCGGCGGCGGAGGGGGTCGGGGTTGGGAGATGGATTAGAAGCACGAGGCGCGCGAGAACACGACACGACGGCCGTCGTCGTCGCTTCACCGGCGCGCACGTGCCGCGACCGCCTCTCCCCGCGTGGCGGTGTCGCGTGAGACTCGAGGGACATTGAAGATGTGCGAAATATCGCTGGAGGAAGCTGATCGGCTGCGCAAAAGCAAAGTGAAGGACACCGACGCCTAACGCCCGACGTTCTCCGTGTTTTGGCCTTGAAATTCGGATAGTTACACTCTACGTTGAAAAGTCGCTCGAGGAGCCTACGTGTATATTTGACATTGAGAGTCTAAACATTCGTATTTGAAGAGCAAAATAGGGTTGCTACTCAACAAGACAAAACGAGTTTGACTTAGTCGCAGTCTAACGATAATATAAGAAGAAACCAACGACATCTGTATTTAGAGGCACTGTTTTTATAATTTAGTCTTATATTAAACCGAGTTTAAATTTAAACTACTTGCAGCGACAGATTGATGTGATCTTTTAATTGCTACAGGCGTATATACAGGGTACCCATTAAGATTGTGCGCGATTAACATCGCAGAAAGTGGCCGGATGAAAAATGTTTTAGACAAAGGTTGTTTAGTTTTTGAAAGGGGAATATGAAACAGCGATATCATTTTGTTTACAGATGGCATCACTTTCGAGATATTCATTGATCATCGCTTTTCTTCAACGGGAGCTCCAATTTTTTATTATATCTTTCTTTTCTACTAATTAATTCGGACAATTTTTGTCTAAAACATTTTTTTATTCACCCAATATTTTTTGAGATATTTAACTTGGTAACTTTTTTAGATATTTAGATATCTCGGTAAGCTTATTGACCTTTGGAAATTTCAAAATCATCAAGTTAACAAAACAAATTAAGGCACTATTGTAACAGCATTCTTGAGACCAAATAGAATAAAAAAGTTTGGTACGACCTTTTCTTCCGACAAATAGTTATCGAGATAGCGTAAACTAAATATTAAAAACGTTTTCCTTAAATATCTAAAAAAATATTAGACAAATAAAAAAATATTTCAGACAAAAATTAATTGACGGCTCGGTCAGCCTTCTTACTTTGCTTTATTTTATTTGACATACTCATTGAGAATAATTTTACTGCCACAAATTAAAAAAAAAAAAAGTCTCAAAATGTAAACACGAATCTCGAAAGTCGCATTTTGACAATTCCTTAGTGATAGCGTTTCACTAGCTACGAAATATCTAAAGATAAAATTATTATGATGATTAAATACAAGATTTTTCCTATAAATACCGTTCGAAGAGTTTAGTTTCCTTAGTTCAAAATTTGAACCATTTCCGAAAGATATCTCTGAATAACACAGCCTTACTTCATCGTTAGTCCATGAATAGGCTGGACTGTCGAAGGACTGTCGAGCCAGGATTAAAATAAGACTATCACGGTTTTACACATTGTTTCCGAGTAGCACCCTAAGGAGTTAGATATGTGCCGCCCGACAGCGATGCTTTTGCGCCTTGGTTCCCTTTGAGATTGAAGATGAAGTTGCCGCGATTTTGCTTTCCCGCCGAACTGAAAGCGCAATTTTGCCTCCGTTTGCACGCGACTGGTTGGCGGTGGCCATCTTCTCTCCGTGCATTGGCCGATGCAACGATCGCGGCACGTTAATCGGCGGGATTGATTTGTCAATGGCCGATAATGACAAATGTAACGTCACCGAGAGCTCTTTCACACGTGCGCGCATTAGCGAGAGCGAACCAGCGAAACAAAACGGTCTCGACACGTTGGAAGGTTAGGCAGGCGCAAATTGAAGTGTCACGTGCACAAAATGCGGACAATCGCAGAAAATAACCGGGAATATTTGCGAATAATTCAATCGAGAACGAGACGCGACGTGTCGTCATTTGCCGATGCGTGTATTTTTGTTTACACGTGTGTGTGTGTGTGTGTGTGTGTGTTCGGTGTATGGATGTGTCGGCGGATGAAAAGTCGAACTCGAGGAAGGTCGTTTTCTCTCCTTCCTTTTTTTTCTCCTTCGTCTCGAGGTACATTCGCGGGCAGATTGCAATCACGGAGGAAGCGGACGTCGCGCGTAGACGCGCAAGCTGCTCTGGGACTTGAACTCGTTTCGAACAGCGAAACACCATGCTTTAGTAGACATTCTATCGACACACACGAGCTACCTGTACGTAGTATGCATCATCACACGACACCACGGGACAATTACCTGTCTTCCTCAGCGGGAAGTCGTCGCCAAACTTCTCCTGGAGCATCTGCGGCATCCGGTAAGGGTGCGCCGCGTTCGTGGTGCTCGACGATTCCGACTGTGGCTGCAGCCTGCAGATAAGAGAAGTCAGCGATACAGTTAGCTCGGGGCTACTGAGGATGCGTATTTTTAGCAAAAAGTTACAATAACACTGAAATAGAGTAAGAAGTAAGATGAAGCGCCAATAAAAGATGACAACGAGACAGTAAGAAACCACGTAAAATAAAACCGAGGGAAAATAATAGAGAGAAATCGGCATAAAGGAAAGTTAACGCTGGGGAAAGTTGGGGAGTGGGGGTTATTACATTACACCAGTTCCTAAATTATACCGTCTTTACATTTCGTAGAATCCGAAGGCTTAGTGCCATTTGCGTGTGTTATGCGAGATCCATCTAGCGCCGCAAAGTTGATAGAGGAAAGTGGGTGTTAAAGTATCTTGTTGAAAGTTTATTAGTTTTAAAAGTTTTGCTCACTTTTACATAAAGCATTTCGAAAGTTTCAAAAGATGTATTATGTAATTTGGCTGCTTGTCGTTTTTATGCTTTTATACATCAAAATTGTCATATTTGCATGGCACAGGTTGGACATAACCTTATTCTGTGTATACTTTTGATTGCTCTTTTATCATACAGGTACAATTTAGGAATTTCCAAGGAAAACTACGTCTCAGCCTATTGTTCTTAGTCTCGTCTATAAAAAGTATTTTTTTTCATATTATTTGTTACTTATATATTATATATACTTATTTATTTATATTTATTTTTTGTTTTACTTGAATTTATTTTTTGCTACACTTATTTTTTGTTTTAGTTGAAAAACAGATTTTCGTTCAATGGTTGTTTATTATTTGATTAAGATTTTAAAAACGAAAATATTTTGTGTAATTTGTGAAAATATTTTCTATAATTTTAATCTCGATGATGTAATGTATAAATTCTTAGCAATTTTTAGTTACGTGGTCAAAGAATAATTTTATGAATATAAACCTTAAATAAAATAAACTTCATATAAAAATGGATGTAATTTTAATAATTATTTTAATAAGAAATTGTAATGTTTGTTTTTATTAATGTAATTAAAACAATTTTTTAGTTTTTCGTACAAGTTGTAATTTTAATTCATTTTTTAGTTAAGTTTCTGAAAACAAAAATATTTCAATTTTGTAATTTTAATGTATATTTTTTTCATTAAAAAGTGTTTCTCGGCTTTTTATGCAAATTATAATTAAATATGTATTTATTTAAATTGTTTGTATTTTGTTTTTATCTCCTCATAGTTTGCAAACTAATCACATCGATACGATAGAGAAAACACGATGCAATTTGGGAAATTCCGTGGTAACAATTTAAGCAACTAGTTGGCGAAATTGTTCCACTTGCAGAGATTTTGGAAAAAAAAAAAAAAAAAAAACGTATCTACAGATGTTGTGCAAGAAATATCAAAAAACTGTAGAAACAAGATTTCTCGTAAATGGATCAAGGATAACTTCCAATTAGTCCTTATCACATTTTTATCAAGTATTTACAAATTAAAAAAAAACTGGTTCGATATAAGCAACCTTCCCCTCTATCGCGTATCCCGACAATGGCATGACAAATAAAATGGCGGCGTCTCAAGGCACTTTGCGTCGGAGTTTCTATCTCGATGCTTGACGTTTCCCGCGATCTCCCGAAGATTGCTCGAAGAAGAGACGGGTATGCTTGCTGCATTTTTTCCTCTTTTCCCTTTTTGTTTACTATTTTGCGACTCGGCGAGCGCGCGCTCGAGACGAAGTTACCACCACAGCGAGGACAAGGAAATCACGTCGAGAGCGCATCGGCCGTTGCTAAATGGATAACTGGGCCAGGTTGTGCTATTACCGTTACTTCGTCGGCGACGCAGAAGAAGACTACGACGACGATCACACGCGCCACGGCTCATTGAAAATCGAAACGACCGCGGCAAAATTTCGATTCCATCGCGTGCCGGAAGCCAGGTAGGCCCGTCGACGAGCAAACTTGTGCGTGCTTGTGTGTGTTTTTTAACTGAAGGTATCCCGACCGAGTTTGGATCTCGTCGCTGTTCCTCCGCCAATTTTTCTTTATTTTCTCAACTAAAAAAATTTTTTTTAAATAAAGTGTGAATATCCGGACAATTAGTGCGACAATGAGCAATGACGAGAAACACGAGACTTTTGGACCAACAAAGCGTTGGGCGGAAAGCAGAAACTCGACATCGTCGACTGCTGCTCATCCTCAGCGCGCCTTTCTCTCCAAGGAGGCTTTACTCGCGTGAGGAAACGCTAATCCCTGAGATCATCTCGCGTCGTCCTCGCAGACACAAGATATCTTACCAGCTTCTGTAGCCGGGTGTACCAGGCACCGCTCCATTCGCCGCGGCCGCCGCCTCTCGTTGCTTCTTGTTCACCAGGAAGCTCTGCAATCGTACAAGCGCTTTGTAAACAGAGAACCGTGCTTGCTCGCGCTCGCTCTCTCTCTCTCTCTCTCGCGCTCGCACGAGATTCAGCGCGTGCCGCTACACGAGAAACCCGGAAAATCAATACTCTGACCGACCGGATTACTCGAAAGAGCCCTATGTGCTTCTCTCTTTCTCTTTCACCTCGTCGCAGGAGACAAGAAGTTCCGTTCCTGCGACCTGCGACTCGAGCGGATTTACTCGTCGAGCGATTCGCGAGGGGGAAAAAGAAAGTAAAGGAAAGCTTTCGAGCCAGGAATCTTCAGGTCGCGCGACGGGCTCGACCTGCGAGATTTTACTTCTTTCGCACTTTTATTTCTATCGTCGCTCTTGCGAGCGCACTCGTCGAATTCCGAAACATCGTCGTCGTCTCTTGTCCGACGATACCGGACGACTCTCGCGCGCTCCTCCCGAGGACTCTCTCTCTCTCTCGAGAGAGAGCGAGAGAATTAACGGGCCAACGCGGCCCGAGGAACTCACCTGAAGACGCTGCTTGACTTCCGTGGACGCGTTCGCGCTATGATCATGCTTGTCCTTCTTCCTGAGGGCCTCGAGCCGCTCCTTCTCTCGCCTCTGCTCCTCCAGCTGCTTCTGCTGCTCCCAGAGCTGCGAAGCAGACAGGTAGATTGCATTTCGCTCGCTCAAGAATCGCGCATCTACCGATCATCGTTTGCCGTGTGTGTTTTCACACACACACACACACACACACACACACACACACACGAGCGCGATTTCAAGGAAGTCGGTGCTTGCTAATGCCGAAGCCAGGGGCTTTCAATTAGGCGAGATCTCGCGCGATTACGATGGTCTTCCGCGCGGCCAGGCATTCAGATCCGGGCGGGCCGTCGCGTTTTAACCGTTGGTTTAATTTACGGCATGTTACTTGTGAACGGCCGAGCCATCGTCGTCGACGTTCCCCGTGAATGACTCAAATGACTTGGTCCGGTGACGCTTCCAGGCCGGTCGTGAGACCAAAGTGCGTTAACGACCGCGGAGGAGCTCGACGGTTCTGCCGCCGTTCGCGATGCTACACGCCGCGTCGTGAGGATAATTTTCTTCTCCCAAAAACTGCGTTTATTTATTTACTGAACGGGAAGAGCCAAGAAGAGAGCGCCAAGAAGACGGCCGTGTCTCTCGATATTTTTCGGAATTTAAGAAATATAAGAGAGATCGCGCGTTTGCGTTTGCGCAGCTTTTCCGTTGTTTGTCACCGGCGAACGTCGTGTGCAAGAAGCAAGATAAAGAGAGGAAGAAAAAGAGAAAAAAAAGAAAGAAAAACACGAAATGTCGAGCAACAGTTGCGGTGAAGATAAGGTATTCGAAGAAAGTCGCGGTGACCTCGGAATCGGCGAAACGCGAACGAGAGGAGAGACAGCCAACCGGCTCTCTCTCTCTCTCTCTCTCTCTCTCTCTCTCTCTCTCTCTCTCTCTCTCTCTCTCTCTCTCTCTCTTTCATTTGCGCTGAGGGGAAGAGCGAGGACGAGAGGGGACACGAAGAAACAACGTTTCGATCACGTGGAAGAGAGCAGAGATAAATAGATCGACCGGAGGGAAACAACAGCGCGACATCGCGCATGCGCATGCGCGCGCTAGCTTAATCGCACACGTGGGAAAGCCCGGGGCATTGGTAAGCGGCATTAATCTAATCACGCGCGTCGCATAATCTCGCTCACGGCCCGATAAACACTCTCGCCCCTCCTCCTGCCCCCGCCACCGCCTGCGTTCGCGCGCGCGCGCGCGTGTGTATCTGGTGCAACGCGCGCGTGAATTCGCGGCGCGAATGAAATAACAGCCGAGTTCGGCCGAACGTCGAGCATTTTATTAATAGCCCTCGCCGAATAACGTTTGCTTACACAGCCGCACCGATAAAATCGCGTCTCTCCGCGAGTGAACGCTGCGCGACTCTGTTCCTTCTTTCTCTCTCTCTCTCTCTCTCTCTCTCTCTCTCTCTCTCTCTCTCTCTCTCTCTCTCTCTCTCTCTCTCTCTCTCTTTCTCTCTCTCCGCCTGCCGCCGTGGTCCGGCATCCGAATCTCGCGAGATGAATCTGCACGGTGTGCGCTCGCTCGCCGCGGAAAATGAGGCGACCGTTCACGGGGTTCATCGACATCAACGTCTCTCTCTCTCTCTCTCTCTCTCGTGCGCGCGCGCGAGCGTCATGTCCATTACGTCTGGCATGGTTCTCCGCGTCCACGACACATCTCGTTATTCGCCAATTAATATCCACCACGCACACACGTGGAGGAACGGGCACCTATTAAATGAGGCCGGCCGGCTTCTCTCGTTTTGCTCCGCGCGGCGGAATTGCATTCCCGCGCGCGCTCTCTCTCTTTCCCTCTCTCTCTCTCTCTCTCGCTCTCGCGACTCACGATTCGCGATTCGAGCGGTAAATGTGTATAATGCGCGATATATGATCAGAGAGAGAGAGAGAGAGAGAGAGAGAGACACACGAGAGTTTTCACGCAAGTCACGGCTAGTTTGATAAACGGTATCGATAATAATTATTCCGATAGCGCTAACACGAATTATTAGCGATTACATCGGTGACGCTCCGCGACGTTTAATAATAAATCGCTCGACCGAGAGCTCGCGAAAATTCCGCCCGATATCGCTCGCCGCTCAGTCGCTCCTCACCGTTATTCCCTCCCCTCCCTTTCTTTGTCAATGAAACCATAGTTCCTCGTATCGCGAGCGTTTTTGTTTCCGCGATGATCGAATCAACTTCCTGCGCTAACTCGCGCTCGTCCATAAAACTCGGAATAGCGCGCCGAAAGAAAGAAGTCGCACGCGCAACCGTAACAACTAATAAAGCGCGGCACGACCAATCAAGCAAATCGGAACGCGCCGCGCGAGTTATTGCACGGGGGCGATCCACACACACACACACATACACACACACGTACACACACGATGGCGCGTGGGTCCACCTGCCAGCGCCGGAGAACACCTGCGCGCACCTGTTAACACCTCCCTCAGCCGGAACACGGCGAGGCGGAAGTGACGTCGGCACGCGCCACAGGTGCTGCAGCCGGCTGCGTCCGCGAGTATGTTTACGCGTCCCGAGCGCCGAAAATAGCGTTGTTTCAAGCGCGCCCGTTATTATAGCGGAGAGCGCCATGCGAGAGCGAGGGAAGAACGCGCGCTCGAGAGCGATATACCGTGCGATAAAGCTCGAATGAAGCTCGCTTGAAATGCAATCGCTGGCCGAGATCATTTGGCCGATAAGAACCGCGCGCGCTATTTCTCAGGCTTCAACGTACAAAGAGAACCGCTTTTTGGTAAATATATAAAAAACGGTACACCTCAGCGATTTTTTTCATTTTGAAATATGTTATAAAGGATGGTATTTTGAGTGACTTTTCATAATACAATTATATGGGGGTCGCTTATAGTTTCTGAGATATTTGACTTTAAAGTTTTATAATTGTACGTTGAAGAGATATTTGAAGTAGACAAGCAGTTTTCATTCACATTAAATATAGGAAATAGCATATAATAAGCGGGAGAGGGGCGGAGCCCCTCTCCCGCACTCCCACCCCAAACAAATCCTAACCTAACCTAACCTAACTTATTGCATCTTTATATATGTTTGGACATTGTTGAAAAATGTTCTCTTAAGATATATCACCTGGCTCAACTTAACTTATTATAATATCTGCATATAATTACATGTAGATGTTGTGGCTTTTAGGGAGATCTTTCTCAACATCGCCCAACAATATATAAAGGTGCAATAGGTTAGGTTGGGTTAGGATTTTTTTGGGGAGGGGGTGCGGGGGAAATGCAGAGCCTCTGCCGCTTATATGTACTGTTTCCTACATTTCTATGTATACACTACGTTTGGATTAACTGTTTGGATTGTACTGTAAATAACGTCAGCTATTGATATCTGGAATTTAATTCCAGAATAATCAAAATTCCAAAACCTTAAAATCAAATATCTCGGAAACTATAAGCAACCTCCATATAGTTGTATCAGGAAGTCATTCAGAATTTCATTCTTTATAACATATTTCAAAATGAAGAAAACCGGTAAGGTGTAGCCCTTTCTATATATTTACCTCTACTTCAAATATACTTCAACGTACGATTATGAAACTTTAAAGTCAAATATCTCAGAAACTATAAGCGACCCTCATATAATTGTATTAGGAAAGGTCACTCAGAATTTCATCCTTCATAACATATTTCAAAATGAAAAAAATCGGTGAAGTGTACCCTTTTCTATATATTTACCCCGCTTTTTATTAAAAGACCAAACTCTATATGTCGCTAATATTATGTTTCTTTAAATTCCCTACTTGGATTGAAAATGATAGTAAATTCTTTTGGAGCTCGCTTGAGAGAGAGAGAGAGAGAGAGAGAGACGCTTAATCACTGGGAAATCATTTGGCCGATAAGAACCGCGCACATTTTTTTTCAGGCTTCATCATACAGAGACCCCCGCTTTTCATTATTAAAAAGCCAAACTCTATATAATGCTAATATTACGTTTCTTTAAATTCCTCGCTCACTCCAGTTGAAAATGATGCTAATTTTTTATTCGAAACTTAATCACTGTGAAATTATTTGGTCAAAAGGAACGCGCGCATTTTTTCTCAGGTTTCAACATACAATGAGTCCTGCTTTTTGTTATTAAAACAAAAACCAAATTTTATATATCGCTAATATTACGTTTCTTAAATTCCCCACTTGGATTGAAAGTGATGCTAAATTTGTTATGTAGCTCGCTTGACACTTAATCACTGGGAAATCACTTGGCCGATAAGAACCGCGCACCTTTTTTTTCAGGCTTCATCATACAGAGACCCCCGCGCTTTTCGTTATTAAAAAATCAAACTCTATATAATGCTAATATTACGTTTCTTTAAATTCCTCGCTCCAGTTGAAAATAATATTAATGTCTTATTCGAAACTCAATCATTGCGAAATATCATTTGGTCAAAAGGAACACGCGCGCGTTTTTCTCAGGCTACAACATACAATGAGCCCCACTTTTCGTTATTAAAAACCCAAACTCTATATATCACTAACATTACGTTTCTTCAAATTGTCCACTTGCATCCAAAGTGATGCTAATATTTTATTTGAAGCTCATTTGAAATACAATCACTAGGAAATCATTTAGCCAACAAGTGCCACGGGTGTTTTTTTTCTAGGCTTCAACATATAATGAGCCCCGCTTTCCGTTATAAAAAGAGCAAACTCTATATATCGTTAACATTACGCTCGTTCGGATTGAAAGCGATGCGAATTTTTTATCTTACACGCAGCATTTTTCCCGACGGCGATCAAGGCGTAAATATAATATAGAACGTAAGGAAATGATTGGCACGATGGATGAGTACACATGGATTCGCGTGGCGAGGTCGACATTTCGACCCGGCCGCCGGGCATGCTGCTTCGATTTACATCGCACGCTTTGCGGCTATTTTCGTGCTATTTTCCACGACGTATATCCACGACGTCGACGCGCGTGCGAGAAGATTACACGATACGCTGACGAATCCATGCATAATTATGCATAACGAGCGTGTCACGGACGCGCACGCGTTGCAAAGCGGAAAAAGATCGAGCGATCGCTCGCACCGGTGAACGAAGCGCGCGT